TTGTCCTCAGCTTCAGCAGCTGGATTTTCCTTCTTGTCGTCTCCTGCTTCTCCCTCTGTGGAGAGTTTCTCCACATTCAGATTTTTCTCGCCTTCATTAGCAACTTCATCAGTCATCCTGTAATACACAACACAGACAAATCAACACCATAATCAATAGATAGAATGTGCCATGATGTTCAAACTAGTCTGTTTAGGACTATGTAGGAAGGTAAAACTCACTGAGTAACTTCATCTGCTTGAGTTCCCCAATTTCCTCGGCCAGCTCCTTCACGCTTTATCTCACCTCTGCTCATATAGTGAAAGATAAGTAGAAAGCTTTACAAATACAGCAACAAAAGGCGATGGTAACACAAACAAGAAAGATGTATCTACCCGCGGCCAGTACCACTACGGCGCTCAAATACCCTACGAGGCCGGTCTCCCTCAGGAAATTCTCCATTACTAAAACCGCCTCGTCGACCACCATGGAAAGCATGGGGTCCATTATAACCGCCACGTCTTTCATAGGGTCTTCCTCCTTCCACGTCTTCAGGTGCAGCTATACCACCAGAAAATTCTCTGTTTCGAGAAAAATTCTCGTTGTTGGATGCTTCCCTATTAAACCCGCCTCCACCACGACCACGGCTGTAACCACGTCCACCACCTCTACCTCCTCCACGTCCAACCTCTGCTTTTGCCTCCCTGACTACACAGTTGAAACAGAGAAGCAATAAGTAAATTCTGAATACTTGCAAAAGAAAAAGAGGAAAAGAACCATAAGTGCAATGACTATAACAAAAGTCATAAACAAAAAGTAATTCATCCATATCATTATTCAAGTGGACCCACTTAATACCAGTCAGGTTGGAAACACTCTTGAGACATAAGTGATATACGCAACAAGCAAAAATTATGAGAATAAGGAAATAGAATAACAGCGAACTGGTCACCGTCAGACATCTTGTGTGGAATATAAAAAGGTATGTATATATGAACAACTAAAATTTCAAGACCAAGAGGCATCAAAAACAGCAGGAATGGGATTATTTCTCATTCTTTTGAAGAGACACTAGAAATAGGACACAACAGCCAATCCTTTAAAAAATAAAGGTCCAAATTACAAAATCTTATGCTTCCCTCTTAATCTTTCTTATATCAATAAACTATGCCTCATTCTCAAACTAGTTCCTTTTCTTTTTGGGTAAGTACCTCAATCCCAAAATAGTTGGGGACGGGTGAATGATATGAATCCTCTATATATTCCACTGTATTCAACCCAATTTCATGCTGATACTGCTGAATAATTGAAGGAAAATTAGGGATTCTATCACACTTATCCTTACCTTGACCTAATGTAGGTGTAAACAACAAAAACTAAGCATGAATCTTAAATAGCTGGTATCATCTACACGAGTACTTTGCTTCGATTCTCTCATACTCTTAGTTGAGCCCACATCAATCTTGAGAGAATGGAGTTTCTTCTAGACAATTCCTCGTGTGATTTTAAATAAACTTAGTCCTTTTTAGCACTTCTAATCACTATGTTGTCACACGTATATACTGTTATATTTAAAGGTCTATGCACGTCATGACTACTTCCGTTTTGATAAATCAATGTTAGTATTGCATAAGCAATACACCAAGTTGGTGTCATATTAATTAATTAGGCGTTGAAATCAACATCCAAAAAGTTAATCACGCTATCTGCACAGTATGGAATATCTGCTTAACTCAATACACTTAGCATGATCGAAATACAATACCTTTCTCTACTTTTAGTTAATATACAAAATATGAGAACATAATAAACTAAGGTGACGCTCACCAGCCTGAGTCGGGGGAGGAGGCTTAGTGGGGAGCTTAGCCGGCTGCTTCTTAGCCGCCGCCGCCGGAGCAGAGGATTTCTTAGCGGTATCAAATTTTTGCTGCTGAATAGCAATCAGCTTAGATGGGTCATCGTTGTCATCATCACCCAGCAAATCAAATGGGTTCAAATCCGCCATTTTCAAGCAACAATTACAAAAAAAAAAACTTTAGTTTTTTATAAGTCTAAAATCCCTCGAAAAAGCTTAATTCATCCGTATATCCATTATCATAAATCAGTTGTAAAGAACAGACAAAAACCCTAAGATAATTTGTGAAAAAGATATTTAGTGAAACCCTAGCCGCAATGATGAGTGTAGTACACGAGGAAGGGAGATTGAGTGTGTGTGCGAGAGAGAGAGAGAGGGGAGTCAGAGAACCTAATCTGGAAATATCCCGGACTTATCGTACATGTTCTGTGGAGCTCGTGTGCTTTTTATTAATTTATTTAGGGATAGTTTGGTTTGAATATGGGTTATGTCACAATAAGTTATACTGAAATAAGTTACCGCTGAATTAATTATGTTGAGATTAGTTATTTTGATATTATTTTTTATTTATTATTTTATATATTATATTAAAAATAATAATTGCATAATTTTTAAAAATATTATATGAGTTATAGCGGCACTAATTATTACATTATCTATAAGTTATAAGTTATCTTGATATTAATTTTAATATCGAGATAATTTATATCAGGTTTGCTAATCAAATAAAGTATTAAGTTGTTATAAATTATACTACACTATAACTTCTTATGCCTGGTACCAAAACGTCCCCTTGTTTATTTTATACATTTCTTTACTGGTGTTGTGGTCGTCAAGAAAAACGTCTAGAATGGTCCCTTAGGTTTTAGCCTTTATTCTAAATGATCCCTAAAGTATACTGAGGTACTCTAATAGTTCTCTAACTATAAAAGTGGTGCATATAGGATCCCTAAAATAGTAAAATATGAAGTGTTGCAATAAGGGGCCATTTGGTAGGGTGTATAAAAATAGTGTTAGATAAGTTGTATTAGTAATGTAGGAATTAGTGATGCAAGTATTAAATGGTATTTGGATTGACTTATTTTAAGTATTTATTGGCTTTTAAGCACTTTGTTAGTTTTTATGGTATTTGACAATGATAAAAAGTGCTTAAAAGCACTTACTTTTAGACATAAAAAATACAAAAATAACCCAAAAGTCAAAAGTTGGGTATTACCAACTTGTGGCTTTTGACTTTTAGCTTATAAGCTACTTTTTAAAAGTCAATCCAAATAACCTACTATTAGTTATGCAAAGATTATTTATTATCCAGTGCTTGATGTGGTGTATTGAAAATTAGAATGTATTGCATAATTTTTTAAAAAATTGGTTATATACAAAAATGCCCTCCGTATTATTCAGCTTTAAGGGATTATAAGGACAATTTTGTCTTTAACCAAGTTAATGTATGCATTAATAGCCTTGATATTGCTAATACCATGGTTTGTTATGTATTAGTTTTACATAAGATAATACCAGATAGGTTATATAACTAATACTTGCATTAGTAATACATATGTTGAAAAAATGAATCAAACAAGAGATTAGTAATACCCAAAGCTAATGCATGCATTATTTTCTCTAATGCATCTTACCAAATGGCCGCTAATATTCCTGCAACTATGCAAGAGTGTTGTATATGTTTCTCAGGTTAACCAATCTCATGTATTCATAATTGCACTGGTAAAATATATGTCATAATCTTCAACCCACGCGTTACAAATAGCCCAACCAACTTTCACTGACATTAATATAATTTTATGAATTAACAACTCTAAGGATCAAATGATTTTGTGGTTTCTATAAACTTATTTTTAGTTTTATAACTCCATCTTTTTTTTTTACATATGAGATGTTTACTTTATTTTTAGTTTATGACTCTATCTCTTATTTTTATACATGAGAGATTTACTTTTTGTCACGATCCAAAATCCCTCATAGTCGTGATGACACCTTGTCGTGATGACACCTAGTCTATAAGACTAGGTAAGCCTAACATATACCGAGATATTAATAGATTCAAAGCAATCAACTATTAAATACGAACCAAAAAATTATATACATAGCCCACAACCAGCAATAGATGTTCAATATCCCAAAATCAATAGTACAAGTCATAAGCTTTATTGAGTTCGCCAGAAGAATCTCTAAGTACAAACTGTTCTGAAATAGAAATAAACAGCGGTAAAGAAAACAACATAAGGTAACTCCGAGACTTGCGAACGAGATGACAGGTATACCTTGAAGTCTCCACATCAGCTCACAATCAGCTAACCAACGACCGCATACTCCGAGGTACCTAGATCTGCACAAAAATATGCGGCAAGCGTAGTATGAGTAACCATAATGGTACCCAATAAATATCAAACCTAACCTCGGTAGAATAGTGGCGAGGTCAAGTTAAGACACCTACTAGACATGAAAATGTGTACAAGATATTGATATAATTTAACAATAAAAAAATAAAGGCAGCTAAAGAACAATTAAGTAACTTATCCATACAAAGCTAACAATGGTAGCAAATCAATAATTTTTTTTTGGCTACAGCTTCATTATTTTTTACCAAATAAAAAAAGTATAGCCAAAATAATGAACTTGTAATTGTACACTCTTTTTATTTCTTCTTTTGATGCAATGACTATGTATTTCAACTGTGTATTTTTACTTTTACAAGTAAAATCAGTAAAAAAAAAATATTTTTTAGAGCACCATAATTTAGAGCTAAATAAAAAATTATAGCCAAAATAATAAAGTTCAAACTATGTATTTTTTATAACTTTTTAGATGCCTCGACTATTTATTTCAATTGTATAAATCTTTATTTTTAGGTCAAATTTAAAAAAGAATATCTAAAACTTTATTATTTTTAGCCAAAAATAAAAATTAGCCTAAATAATGTAGTTCTAGCCAAGTTTTATTATAAATTTTATTCGAAAAAAATTATCTAAAAAGTAACATAATTAAAAAAAGTAAAAATCTATATTTTATTAAAAAAAAATATCATATGGACAGAAAAATAGCAGGCGACGAGATTGTCCAAGGGGTAACAACTGTTGAAGAATCAAGTACAGGGGTAATTAAGACCATATATAGGGCATGGAATGAAAATGTCCTGCTTTCTGTAATCTATTTATCGCCACTCTAGGATAAACCCCACCCAGAATTTCAGAAAGCAGTAACTTGCGAGGTTTCCCAATGGCGATTCTTGCACTCCCATTATTCACTTCCATTCTCAAACCTCACAAGACTCACTTCTCCTTTCTCCTAACCACCACTAAGCCTCTTCCTATCATTCTTCACAGGCGTTTTCTCTCTAAATCTTCCACTGTCTCTGCACTCTCCACTTCTTCTTCTACTTCTTCCGTGTCTCACAATACAGAGCATCAAAAGAAACCATCTGTTCCAACTTTTCAACAAGCCATTCAAAGGCTCCAGGTATTTTTCTACTTAATGGGCTTGTGTAATTGTGTTACAATTTCCCTTCTTGAGCAAAATATACATTGAATAACTAATGTAGAGAAGCTTCATTCATTTTTCTTGGACATAGTATATTTGTTGCAAATTTTTTGATCTTATTTGATTTCAAGATTGTACCAACTCACAATTTTGAAGTCTTACCCTTAGTCTCAAGAAACTCTGCAATTATTTTTGGTAAGTACTATTCATATTTATTGGTAAGGTAAAACTTTTGTTGATAATAGAAAGTTCAACTCTGTAGATGGCTAACGAATTCCCGCGACTTCCCCTCCTTAATCTTTTTAACCTTGCCACTCGGTGTAGATACACTTCATACATGTCTTAAATTTATTTATGGATTAACCTGTCTTTTTAACATGGTAGGAGTATTGGGGTTCTGTAGGATGTGCCGTGATGCAATGCAGCAACACTGAGGTATGATTATCATCCTTTTTTAGGGCTCAAAAAATATACTCTAACACATAACAGGAAAAATGAACTTGCTTTTCTGCTGGAATTGATGCTTTTCTTTTTAATGAAACTTGATATCTTATCAAAGTTGTAAATGGTGATTTGCAAGTTGCAAGAACTAAGTATTATCTTCCGTGCATACCTTTTTGTTTTGGATAGGTAATGCGTAACTTTTCTATGATAACAACATAAAGGAAATGCATCTTGGTAGATATAGTCTTTCCGTGTATCTTCTTTGAGATCTAGCTAGCTGGGAGTAGCTAAGCTATGCTATGCAACGCTGTTCTTTGGTGATTAATGATAATTTTAATTACCAAAAAAACATAAAGGAAATGCTGAGCATATTCTCCTTCCGTACTTTGGGACTGCATGTGTATATGTATTGTGTATCACACTTAATCTGGATAGATATGTATTGCACTTACATATGGTTGGTGATAAATAGTGCTTTGTACAGCCATAACATGAATGGGCTTTTAGTGGTTATTAGATCTTTAAGTGTTTAAATTGAACTTACAATCTTTAGAGTTCTTCGCATCTACTTTACTAACTTGTTTAAGTTTAAATTGCACTGACCAGGTTGGCGCTGGGACTATGAATCCTCTAACATACTTAAGGGTTCTTGGACCAGAACCGTGGAATGTTGCGTAAGATTTTCTGATAAGCTCAGTTCATCTATAAAGTTCTTGAATACAATTATCATTCTCATATTTGTGACCAGAATTCATTAGAAGAAGAGAGTAAATGCGTAGGGAAGTCGTGCACATCTTAGATAGTCTCTTAATGCAAAGTAACATATTAGTCATAGTTTACTTGTCCCAAAAAAAAAACTTAGTCATTGTTAGCGTCACTGGCAATGATAATGTCAGGTTTGCCTTTTAAATGTCTAAACTGTGCGAATAAAGAAAGGATGTTATATCGCATTAATTATTCTGTTCTCATGATTTTTCCCCATGAAGAAACGGGGGACCTATGGCATCAATAAGTTCTCTTGTTGCTCCTGGGATTGCATTGCCTGGTGCCACTCTTTAGTAAGATTCTCTTTTGTTCCTCCCTTATCACAAGATAAAAGAAATCAAAGTTTTATTAGGTTAATACTCTCTCCTGCGGTCCATGTCTCGAGTCAGTAAATATTGATTGCACATGGGATACAAGCTGACTTAAAAATTAGGGCTTCTGATATTTGGAGATGATCTTCTTAATCTAAAAAGACGAATACATGTCATGTTCTCTATCCTGAACCAAAAGTTTTGCACACAATAAAATCATTTATGCAGAAAAATTAAGCTGAAGGATATGGTAACTGTTAGAATCTGGAGAGATTGAGTCCCCTATAAAATCGGACAGGAGCTTTGGGATGCAGATGCCCATTTCTTTTCTTGCGAATTTCAGATGGTCTTCTTATCATGCTTTTCCCACCTCTCAGAAGAATTGAAAATTTTGTCATTCTAACTAGATGAAAATGAATTCGGCCTAGAGAATGGATAAGTCAGTTGCATACAGCTTTATTCCAAGATATCCAGTTCCTTTAATTCATATTATTTTGTTGAGGTGCGCCGTTGGAAGTGCCTGTTGTAACTGATTCACTATCTAGTTCTTGATGCTTCATTTTCTCTTTTCTGGTTCTCATAATCTTGATAATGAGCAAGAAGAATAATGTCATATTAGCAATGAAGCGGATACATTACTTTGTTTTCTTGTATGGCTATCAATGTAACTGTGTCTGATGGCAGGTATGTGGAGCCTAGTATTCGTCCAGACGATAGTCGGTATGGGGAAAATCCAAATAGGCTTCAAAGGCATACTCAATTTCAGGTTAGTTTTCCTTCAATTTATTGTCTAACATTTTGAATCTCAGTTGATTGCTTAGTACTATTGTATGATTTTATTGTACTTTTGACTACTCCAGATGCCTTTCCTGTTTGAACTGCAATGCAGGTGATTTTGAAGCCTGATCCAGGAAATTCGCAGGACTTGTTCATCCGTAGCTTGTCAGCTTTAGGTTTTGCAACCTATATCTACTTTCTTTTTCTTTTTCCTTCATTATGTCTTTTGGACTAATTTATGTGGTAAAAATAACTTCAATTTGATGTTATTTCCGGGATAAGTCAATTTGATACTTATGGTAAGTGATAAGACTGTAAGGCTTACCAATAACAAAGACTTGCAAACTATCCCATGTTTAAGCCTTGAAGCATTGGAGGAATGGAGGAGTTATTCCATGATTTTTTTTTTAATAATAGTTTTTTGATTTTGTGTTGTGGCTAGAATGCCGTGGTCACTGAATTTGGATATGTCTCTGATCTGCTTGGTAAAAGGCATGCATGGCAACGGTTTTTTAGAAATAGAGCACAAATTTAGAGTTCGAAGTAGGATTAGAACATAATATAAGGTTGAGGCAAAGAACATGTTGATGGAAATGCGATTAGGAAGAATTGCAAGGATGAACTGAAGGAAACATGTTCCATATAGGTGATTGAGCATCCTTGCTTGAATAGGGCAACGAAACTAGAGTTTTTTTCAATTCACTGTTCACATAAAAGAGAACATACTTTGCTTCATATTGGAGGCCTTGATATGTTAAAAGGGAATTGAGGAAAAAGCCTTGTGGTGTAGCTTTGATTTGAAGGCGTCGCTATTGGGTGATGCCACATTCCCATTTCAGTCCGCAAGTGAAGAGCAAGTTTCAAAAGTCTTCAAGAGGGCAGAGAATGGGTAGGGGCAGTTGAAGACTAGCTAGGCTGTGACTAGCTAGTCTGTGTTGAACCCGAGGCAGTTGAAGACTTCATTGTTATTAATATTACTTGGGGTCTTAAAGAAATCCAAAACGCACTTAAGATAGCTGAAGAATTGAGAGGGCAGACGGCAGACGGTACTTGGAGTTCTTTAAGAAGGTGGAGGATTTGTGTGGGACATGTGGAAATTGGAGGTGAGGAAAGGAGAATTTTTACTTGCAACTCATATTAGAAATCAAGGGAGTAGGGAGGAGCAGAGATTCGAAGGATCGTATGGAGAAATCTAGGGAAGACTGAAGAGATGTCCACAATAACAGCGCGTTTGGGTATTCAATGGGTGTTGGGGAGGGTTTTTTAGGTACCGTAAGATCCCGGAAGAAAATGAGGGTGCAGAACATGTCTAGGGCAATTGAGGAGTTCTTGGAGCTCCTCTAGAAGGGGCTAGATTTACATGAGCAAGCTGAGGATTTGTCATCAAGAACAAGACCTGGTAGATTCGTGGTGTCCACTATATAGGAGGAGATTGTGCCGAATGTGTTACAAGTTTGACTTCCTAGACATCTTCTCCCACGTCAAATCATCTGGCACCTATTGACTATTTATTTCATATCCTCTTATTCCCTGGTACAAGTTATTGCTAACCTAGAAAATGCTTAAACATTTTACTTCGATCCTGGAATTCAAGCCTGGTATATACAAGGAAGACAGGATAGAGAAATTGATCACACTGGCGCTATATAGTCAGCCATTTACTTACCTTCTTTGCTAAGCTTCAACTAAAAGTGTATGCTTTTTTTTTTGAGTCCGTTTAAGTGGCTTAAATGGTAAATGGGATTCTTCTGAAAAGCAGTTTAGAAGGTTTTAATGTTCTGCGTTAGTTGAATAAATGGATTAGTCTTTTTCTCCTTTTCTTGTTCTTATTCTTGTATAATTAAAAATTGTGTGACTTTATGCTTAGATTCGACCATACTTAACCAAATAGGGATACACTTTACAGTTTGTTATTTCTCCTTCTACTTGTTGGATGCGTGCAAGTTTCACGGTTGTGTGTGTGCGTATATATATACACATATATATTTTATAGTAGCTCTAGAAACCGTTCTGGCTTGAGATTTTACTTTGTTGTATTGACAGGTATTGATGTCAATGCACATGATATTCGCTTTGTTGAGGACAATTGGGAGAGCCCTGTAAGATTATTCTTTCTCTTGATTAACTTTCCTATATATGCACATATAATGTTCCATGAACAGTACATCTCCTTTGTACTTCATTTCCTTTGTGCTTATTTCCTTGTTCAGGCAAATTTCCAACTTTTTGTTTGGATTGCATTAATGATGCCTTTTGCTACATGAATCAAAGCTGTATTGTTAAATGTTCTGTTGACTTGAACTACTAGTAGGTGCTTGGTGCCTGGGGATTGGGCTGGGAGGTTTGGATGGATGGGATGGAAATCACACAATTCACCTACTTCCAGCAGGTTAGTCTCTCTCTTCTGACAAAAAGTGTACTGCAGTTTTAGAATCCTTTTTTTCCCCACAAGAACAAGTCTAAAATTCTTCATTTGCTTTTGGCTACTAATGACTTATAAGAACTTGTCCATCTGCTTTTCTATTCTGTCCTTTTTCTAGGCACATACAGTTATTTAACTTTTAATTTTCCAGGCTGGAAGTATTCAGTTGATGCCAGTATCAGTTGAAATCACTTATGGGCTTGAACGTATCCTTATGTCACTTCAGGTTAATTTTGCTTGTTGAGATCACTTTCAGGCTTGTTCTTTCTCCTCTTATGATTTCTTACTTTCTTTTTTCTTCTTCAAACATATGACGAGGCTCATTGTTTACATTCTGCATCCTCTTCTCCCAGCAAAGGAGAAAACGGCCTTATTCTTTTAATTGGATCATAGTGTGTTTGAAGCACCTCTCACTTCTCTATTTTTGCACCAGAGCCTCCAGCATGATAGCTACATTTACTATGTCTCCTAGCTAGCAGAAAAACCTTCATGTAGGAGGTCCTCACTGCCGGTATCTTAGAAAATGAAGAGCATAAACTACCTAAGCATTTCTCTTCTGGTTCTCCAATATTTTGCTTGTTATGACTCAATATTACTTGTCTGCAGGGTGTTGATCATTTTAAAAAGATTCAGTATGCAGATGGCATTACGTATGGAGAGCTTTTTCTGGAAAATGAGTAAATAAACTAATCCAGCTAGAAAGTTTTCTTTTTCCTTCTTGTTGACTGCCTTACTATTAGATAGATCCCGGTGCTTCTCATTAGTTTTCTTTTGCCCTTTCAGAACTGTTATTATCTGGTCTTTCTTTAGTCTCAAACTATCTTCAATAAGAACAATATCTACTCCATTTTCTTTTCGTTGAGCATAAATGTTGCTTTTAAAATCCAAATTCTAACTGTATAAGTAAAGGAACCTTGATCTATGATGTGCAGTGTTGTGAAGAGCGTAAAGCGATGAAAAACGACAACCCCCATTTCGCTTAAAGCGAGAAGCGCAACGCTCGCTTTTTTGAAGTGAAGCGGAATTTTAAAAAAAAATTAAAATAAATACTGCATAGACA